CATTCTGGTTTGTGGGTGAACCCAGCAGAGTGTGGCCAGAGTCACTGGGCGTTTATACACCAGAGTGAAAAACGACAGTGGCTCACGACCATCCGAGGTGTGAGGTTAGCTCCTGGGAGCGTAACCGCTGCCAGCTACAAACAGACTACTCTACCGGGTACGCAACAATCTCACTTACTCTGCTCTCACAGAATCATTCCTAAAGGCAAGAGATGCTGAGAAAAAGCACACTCACCGTGCTGCTGCAGCCAGCAAAACAGGCAGATAAGTAGGTGACCCCGTCTGCCCCACAGACGGGAGTGAAGGAATCGGTTTGGCATTCACAGTTGTTATTGCAGGGGGCATATGGGTCTAGAGGTGAGGTCGGAGTTGAGCTGCAAGAGAAACAGAAATTAACAGGCAGTGCAATGGTATCAGTGCTACACAGAGGTGGTTATGAAGTGGATTAGTTAAGGTAAACAAATATACCACAAGCAGCGAGCAGGCTATCTGGGTCCTGGCACAAAGAACTCCAGGCTACAGTCTTTCCTAGGACAGGAATACATCGACCGCCATCCCTACGCAACGGGAGATCTGAAGTGAGGCTTGGGCTGCCTTGTCTCCCCAGTGAGCAGCCCCAAGGAAACCCAAGGACATGCCAGGAGAGGTTACTCTCTGTTTCTCTAGAACAGTAACAGTGAGCAGCAGAAAGCCTGAAGTCTTCATCTTTGAGAGTCACCACTGCATATTCAAGAGCACCAGAAAATAAAACATAGAATAACTCTCTTGGAGTCCTGTCAACTCTACGGCGTACTGGGTGCCTCATTTCCCCCATTAAAATGTGCCTGAAGCCATGTGTGCCTCCTCCTCGTCATATATGAATTGCCAGGTGTCTAGAACTTGGTTCAAGAAATTCCAGTCAGGCACTTTAAAGTGCAAAGCAGTGACTGCCCCTTGCTCCCAGGAGAAACCAGTTGGTGCGGTGGAGCCAATGCTACATATGTGGCCTCAGGATCAGAACTGGATCTTGTGCCTTTCTAGTCAGTTTGGCTGATTTTAGCGAAATTCAGTTAGCTGCAGGCACTCAACTCCCTCAGGGAGGAGTGGCATGAAAAGCCCCAAAAGTGAGAGCACAATACGAAGTTGCCCTCAGTATACTGCTTGTTCTGTTTGATTGCCCATGGGCCACAGTTGCTTGAAGGCTGCTGACGTAGGGATAACAACAAGACGTTTCTGTTGGCAAGGTTCAGAGAGATTTGCCCACCGTCTGCCAGCTGGACAGAACTGGGGCACCCTGAAAGTCTCAGGACTCACTTGTTTCCATAGGGAACAGTAACTCCTGCCACAGGCCCAGTGTCACAGCCCAGGAACAGGAAAGACACGTAGCAAGCCGTGGACACCAGGTTCACGAGCATGGCCATCCTGATGGCTCCCAGAGCAGACAGGCTGAGCTTCTTCACCAAGAGGCCACCCAGGAATATGCCCAGGCATGCACATGGGATTGCTGTCATCCCTGCAAGAGGAAAAATTGGTTAGGAGCAAGTGAGAATGAGGCTCAGTGAACCACGCTGTTAAGGCCTTATCTTCCCAGCAGACAAATCTGTGCGTTACCATGAGGAAACCTCATAATGATCAGACTTTGGAGTAGCACCAAGCTGATGTTTGTTCATTTCGGTGTGGTGTTCTCAGCTGTCATCAAGCCAGACTACCTGCCACCAACACTGTCCATACCCATCAGTGGCAGCATTAGAGCTTCTCCGGGATGGCAGATTAACTCAGCAACCACCAGTCCACTCCTCTCCTTGCCTTGGGCACTGCACAATTAAACCTTTGCTGCTTTCTCCAGTCTTGTTTCAGCTGGTGTGGCCCAACAGAGAATGGATACAAACAGATATGCCGCCTTGCACAAAGGAACTAGGATCTTTCTCCAGTTCTCCATGCCAAAATTGTTGAGACTAGCCCACCCTACCCTAAGCAGTGGAATCTCCATTGCTTCTACAGGAAAGATAGTTGGCAGCCAAATAAACTGTCCAGAATTTCATGAGGTAATTAGAGGCTTTGGACAAGCCCTGCCTGAGATACTTCAAAGCAGTCTAATCTTCAGAGATAAGGTGATAGTTGCTTTTGAAAATATTAAGCTTTCTTTTTAGAATCTTCTTAAACTGTGAGATGCAAAAATCACTGCCAGAAGTGACTCACTTTCCACGCTCAGAAAGGCTTTCTCGCACTAAAATTACTTGGGTCCACTTTTATCCTTTTGCTGTCGGGTATACCTCAGACCTCATCTACCCAAGGTAAGCTCAGAAGCGCATCCAAATCCTGTCATTCTTGGACAAATGGCACCCGAGAAATCTGGCAGCAACATTATTTAAATTAAATAAGCTGTTACCAGGAAAGTATCAAAGTCTTCTCCCTACTGCTAGGTTAGAGACAGGACATGCTGTGGCTCATTGGAAATTCCTTTCTTGCTGACCGGCCAGGCATCTGCTGCCAAACCATGCAGCGGCTTGCTTTCTCCCAGTGGGTCAATAGCGAAATTGCTTTCCTTTGCTAAGTCTCTAATTTTCAGGAAACGTGTAAGAATCTAATATCTTTGAGACCTCTGCCCTCTATCAAATTCCATTAAAATTTACCAGTGAGTTCCTGTATTATTAGGGGAGGGGAGAGTGACGGCAGGGGTTTTTGTTTCCTTTGGAAAACCAGGCCAAAACCAAAAGGTATCAACGAGTTCAACAGGAAAATAAATAACCATCAGGAGAGCAGCTTGCAACCTCTTTGATATTAAAATCCATCTATTTCATGACTTCCCAGTTTTTGACAGGTCACTGCCAGCTGCCCATCTGGCAAGCTGCAGTTACAGACCATCCAAAATCAACATGCAGATATCTTAATTGGGTGCTACCCAAAAATGTCTGTCCTAAACAAATTGTTGGACCTCCCTGGGAATGAGCAGCAGGAGAAAATAAAAGGTCCCGCCTGTGCATCAGTGTCCTGACAGAAAAGGAAAGCTGAGAAATACACAGTACGTGGGAAACCACAGCAACGTGGCATGGTCAGAGAGGAGGATTTGAAAGACAACCAAGATGCATTACCTCAGCTATTTGAACTGCTGCTTGAAGTCCCACCACTTTCAATCCAAGAAGAAAGAAGGGACTCTCAGGAGAAACTAGGCTTCCCAACCCAAATGGAGCTCCTCAGATAAGAGCTGGCACAGCACGGCTGCGGGTCAGGCTTGGCAGCCTCCCGTAGTTACTCACCCAGCAGCTGGTTGGCGGATGAAGTGGTGAGGTTGAACTGTTGCTCCAGGTATTTCCCCAGGAAGGCGGCAAAACCAGCCACCACAGCGATCTCCATGCACGCCGCCAGGATGATGCAGGTGAAGACAGGGTTGGAGAGCAAGTGCTTGGTTACTTTGGGGATCACTAGAAGAAAGAAAAAAGGGAGATGGGTTTTCGTGCCAGCTCTCCTCTAGGCATTGGAGGGGCCTGGCAGCTCCCCCATAGGATGAACTCAGGATATTTGGACTAATTCTGCATAGACAAGCTGACTGAAATGTGGTAACACCAGAACAAAGGGAAACAGGCCCCAAAGTACCATCTAAAGATACAGATGCCAGGAGGGTGCAAAAAGAAGTCACGTATTTTGACATTTAAATTCACAGATGTTTTCTGAATTTTGGAGGACCAGCATTTTCCAATATTGCATTTGGGCTAAAAACCTTTCAGCTTTTGTTTCCTCCACAGGGAGGACAATCAAAGCCTGGTATTTTCTTTTTCCTTTTCCTTTCCTTGCCTGCTCCGCATGAACAACGCCAAGCTAGCCATTAGGTGCCATAAGGACCGTATTCAGGGCAACGCAAATTCTTGCAAGCTTTCAGCCACAGGTTAACCCCATTTGCACTTGGCCTTTCCTTTCCTGCTGTCTGGATTTGCTCTGCTTTGTTGTTCTCCCATATCACCAGCTCGCTTGCCGAGGGCTATCTCCTTGCCGCACTTACGGGTGCAAGCTGAAATGCTCCTGCTCAGCCTGTGGCCGCAGCCACTCACAAGCACAAGGACCCCCACTCCTGTGACAGGCACGTCAGCCTGTGTGCCCCCATATGCCGGAGCGATGCCATCCACACGGACCCCAGCGGCTGGACGGGGAGATGCTGAGCAGTTCTGGTGAGCAGCCAGCCACACACAGGCTTGTTTTAGCTTCACGAACGCTTGCTCCTTCCTCCCGAATCATTAGTGTCCAGAGTCCCCCCGACCAAGCCTGTCTCTATTTCCAATAAGCAAATACAAGTTACCTCACAAAGGGAAATCTGGCTAATGAATCAGAGAGCACATTTTCTACTCCAGCGAACATTTTAATTATTGCAGAGATAACACAGCTTGAAGAGGAGAGCGCCCCAGTATAGGACAGCCTTGCTTTGTCTCAATACCTGATGACTAATTTTTCCCTGAATTAAATGTGAAAATCATTAAGTTTGAAAATTACCTCTCTGAAGTGTAGTGAAGCCTCGGTGGACCCCATTTGCATTTTGAAAATCCATTCCCCACCTCCCCCTCCTGTGTATTTGGGTCTGGCAGATGACAGATTTCTCTGGTGTGGCTTCTGCTTCCCCTTAGGCCTCTTTCTGGTGCAAAATCCAATTGCACTGGCTTCAGTAAGTAAACGCACAGCTCTTTGTCAAGGCTCTGCTTGGGTTCCCTTGGTGGTTCTTTTCTGGGGCGGGGGGCGAAGGTTACAATTAGGCTTGATCTAATCTTTTTGGAAGGGACCGCTCCACTGTTTCTGGTCTCTTTATATAACAAATGTTTCTTCATGTGGTATAAAATCCTTGCTTCCTGAGGATTTGCTGAACATAATGATGGCGCAGGAGGCATAGTATTGTTCAGTAGAACAGGACCAAAAAAAAAAAAAAAAGAAAAGAAAAGACAGAGAGGGAGGAGGAAGAGGAGGGTGGATTCAGATGCAGGTTGATCTCAAAAGCCACACGCTGCCTCTTTCAATTCTTTGGTGGCCACCTACAGAATTTTCCTTCCTGCCAGGAGAAGGAAGAAAAAAGTAAAGGTGGATTTGGCAGAGTTGAGCTTAGAAAGCCATATTTAAGATATTACTGCCTGTTGTGCCACTGGAGTTCAATTTGTACAAGATTAACAGATTCCTTGAGGTGCAGCTTTGTGCCAATTCAAACACAAAGACACAAAGATACAAAGATCTATCCGCAACTTTATCCACCAAATAGTAACAATAACAGCCTGTCTTTTGCAGGAGGGATCCTGGAAACTTATTTCTGAATTTGGCAAGGCTGGTGCCGAATCATCATGCATTACCAAGGTCAGAATCATCTTTCATACTTGCTGAAAGAGAGCAAAGATTTTGCAGAGCTATGGCACCCTCTCATACAAGACAGGCAGCAACTTATGACTGCCTGGCCTGGCAGCACTGAGCTGTAAGTCCCTTCTCTTCACCTCTGCTTCTCCTCCCTGGCCATTTAGGTGCAAAGTCTCTGGGACAGATGCTGTCCTTCACCGCAGGACTGACCAGTCTCTGCTGTAACAGGTCGTTGTACCAGCTGCACAGCACAGTACAAAACCCAGTGCAAAGAATTCAAAGGCAATACAGGCAGATGCCTGGCAGCCTCCACCTTCTCATCAGCCAGGCCAGATCATTCCCTTTCATTTTCTAAGGAAAACGACAGGATGCTCCCCATAGAAATGAATCTCCTTTCATCTTACTAGTGCCAACAGTTAAGATGAATCATTTGACACCTGCTGCTGCCTTATCTGTCTCAGTTCTTGGGGTGAAATACCTCTGGGAACAAGATTAAAAGTCAGTAGTGAAGTTTAAAAATCTCTCAGTAGAATAGAGTGACGTGCGTTCAGCTGTCTAGCATATGGTGCTGGGGATGACCGGGGAATGGAAAATGTTTGATGGGGGACAGCAAACCCCTGGGGAACACCCCAGCTAAGCGTGTCTCTTCTTCACTAGATACCAGGAGAAGTCAAGATAAACTTCACCCTGTACCTTGCTGACTCAGTCTGAATTTAGATATGTTCTTAGAAGCCCTCTCTGGCCCAAAAGGCTAGCCAGTATAAATCTGAGGTTTAAGTCCACTTGCCAAACTGGAAATGGGGAAGGTTTTTGCAGTCAAAACGGAGTCTCAAAATTCTTCTTGGAGAATCAGACACGGCAGAGAAAGAAGTCCCTCTCCATTGCTCTGACCATTCCTATCCCACTGGATGGAAAGAGGTGGCACATGGCTTTTGAGATCTCTCTCCATCTGATCCCCCTCCTCTTCCTCCTCCCTCCTTTTTTTTTTTTTTGTCCTGTTCTACTGGAAAATATTGTGCCTCCTGCACCTTCATTATCTGTGCTCATTTAACATCCTTATCCCAGTGCACCCACACACTACAGAAACAATGACAGAAAAGAGATTTGTATTGCCATTTATACTGAGAAGACCAAGAAAGCTGAGCCTCTTTTCACCGTAGAAGTACTTAAAACCCACCACTTCAGATGTCCCACTTTCCGTGCTGGGCATGGGATAATTCAGGCTGGAAGGGCTCTAGGAGCCTCTCACAGCTCTCCGACTCCTGCTAGCGTCTCTAATCCCTCAAATTCGCACCGTTTAGCACTGTAAGCAACCCCCAGCACCAACTGCCCGCGGCCCGAGCTGCGGAGGCATTGCGCATCCTCCCTCCCTCCCGCCGTGGCACCAGCTGTGGGTGACAGGCCGTAGGGTTTACAAGCAAATATACTTAGGTACGCCAAGTAGTTTTGATTTGTCACTAAACATCAGGGAGTACAGGGGATAATTGGCAACCTCATTACACGAGGTTTAACTACTCTCCAGAAACGACAAACTGTAATAATCACGTTGGTGCTTGAAATGAATTGTTAGGAACATTACAATCACCAAGGCCCCTTTTTCCAGTTGGAGCACCCTACAGAGACATGTTTTCAATTTGCAGTAAAGATGAGGAACACAGAAAGCAACGTAATAAATTTGAGGGAGGTTTACAGCCCGGTTCACCTAGGACAGTGTGGTGTGGGAAAGGAGAAATATAGCATCGAGACAAAGTACTACTTTCTACCAGTAACCCAAGGAGTGAGTCTCGGATCTGAATAGAAAACAAAAGGCAAAAATCTCCACCTGGCTTGAGGAATAAGTGATGAAGAAAATAGTGCCGGCAGCATGAAGAAAATACCTCATGGAAAGAGGCAGCTCATATAATAGGAAAAGATGGAGTAAGGCAAGAGGCACTGAAGATAACTCAGGTGAGTTTAATATGCCAGTCTGTGAGGTCTTGGTGAAATTAATATCACAAAGGGTACGAAGGAAAAGGATGACAACCATGTCAAATAGGCTTCTTGAGAGATATGGGCTTGAAGCAACAGTAACGTTCTCACATGGGCACACGATTTGTCATGCACAGAAAGCAGGGCCTCCTAGTCTGTCATCCTGCCTCCAGCAACAGCCTTTGCTTGACTTCAGAGGGAGACGTAAACCTCCCTTGTCCGTGTAATGCTGTTTGGGGCAAGGTGCAATATCTTTTCAGAGGCAGGTGTGTTCTGGTTGACCTCTGCTGCTGCTCAGTTCCTGCCCTGAGGCACACAGGTTGAAGGCCCTTCTGAATTACTCAAAGTAGTGATAACAAGCATGGTGGCCTTGGGAACGGCTAAGAACCACCCACCAACAAAGCCCATATCCTCACAAAATTCAAGCCAAAGGAAACTCGGAGGCACCAACGGGAGCCGTCTCAAACACAGCTCTTCTGAGATCAAGGAAGCCCAGCAAGCTGCCATGAACGTGATTTGGGTCTTTTATGATCACCTGCCTCTCCCATACCCGCTATTAGTGTTTCTCGGTTTGCCTTTCAGATACTGCTAGGGACCCAAGGCCCAAATCCAAAAAGGTGTTAAGGCCTTGGTACCAATCTGGATCCAGGCCAGAGCCTTACCCCTACGTCCACAAATGGATTTATTGGAATGATTGTGCCAAAAAATTGGCAGCAGAGTTTCTCTCAAAGTGTTGCTGACTGTGCCCACGGATGCTCTACATGTGTGTGGGAACGCTCCCTGAAAGCACCCGGCTTGCCTTGCAGCGGTGTGCAAGCCTCCTACCCTATGCCGTGCCCCCAAAACTCCTTCACTAACGAGTGCTGAGAGCCTGTGAGTGAAAACTCATGTTAAGCATGCCTGTTGCCATCAGATCCCACGGGGCAGTAGTGGCTTTTCATTGGCCGGGACCCACCGGTCGCAGCTGGGAGCCTCTGGCCCAGCCCTAGGGGTCTGCTCCCAGAGGGCACTTTTGGGGAGAGAACAGTGAATTCAGAGCAGCGCTCCCACAAGATATTCAGCACACTGGTGCACACAGCAGGAAGGAAGGAAGAAAACAGAAGACAAGACAGCTGTCAGCTGTACATCTCGCCTCTTCTGCCTTCTTGGAAACAAAGCTGGCTGAAAACCAAAGAGTTTCCAAATCTAGGGAATCTGTACTTTTGAAATTCATCCAATTCCACAATGAATTTTCCTTTAATTCCTTGCGAATGAGCTTCTCTCTCCAAACCTGATGGATTCCGTATCAGTTTCAATCCTTTTAAGTGTTTTAATCTCTCTCTCTAGACAGATAGAAAGAACGTAATGAATTTCAGTTTTAAAGCACTTCAAAACAAAACGCGTTTAGAGCAGAACGTTTCAACAGCATTAAACAGAAAGGTGGTGAAGCATTTAGAAAAACAGATTTCATCAGAACTGACCACTCCGTTCAGTGAAAATGACATTTTCATATGAAAAAATGATTTTGATATAATACTTGCAAGCACATCCTGGAATAGGTGGAGGGTTAGAGACAGCCAAGAGCAAATGGCAACGGCAGCATTTATCTGTCCTCTCTCTGCTATTAATTCTTCGCTTCTCAGCGGTCCCTGCTCACCTACTTGTTCCCTTTCCCAACTGCTCGGCCCGCAGGACGGCTGTCTGTGCACGGGGACGCGCTGGGCAGCTGGGTAGTCCCGTCCCTGCGCTCTGCCTGCCTGAGCTGCTGCCTTCCTGCCAGTGACGCCGTGCAGAGCGGCGGCGGCAGCCGGGCGCCTCTGCTGCCTTTGATCGCCTCTTTGCCATGCGCTGTTCAAAGGCAGGGTTCTCATTTCAAGTCCGAAACTCCTTTTAAGGGTGCTTCTTTTCTCGGCATGAAAATACCCCTCAGGAAGAGATGCCATGGCTTCTCGAAAGCCGGGTCCTCCCTCCTGTTTAGACCTTGGCAGAGATGTAAAAGCCTTTCCAACACATTGAGCTGGTTGCTTTTGTATTAATCACAGCTTTTCTGTGTGCCAAGGCCAGAGAGAAGCAGAGAATCTCATGCCAACCTTATACCTCGGAGCCCTTTAGCAAATCCTGCAGCGTCCCAGAGCTTCCTCCCAAGCCTAGACATCCCCTGCTGCTCACCGACAGTGGTGGCACAGCTGGGAACATCTGTCTCCAAATGACACCCCCCTTCCGCCATGTCCATCTGCTTGCGCCATTTGCTGCACCCCCAAAACCATCCAACAGCCCAAAAGGAGCTTTAGTTTCGCTTCCAGGATGCCCCACTGACGCACAGGTATTATGCCAATCCCACACCTCTGCGCAGGACACCTGGCACACACACCTGCCCAACACCCAGTGGCAGAGACAACACAAAAAAGGAATCAATGAGTTATGGCCACATGAATCCCTATGGGCGTTTCCACGCATAACCCTCTCTACAGACACCTCCTTTGCTTTTTGACTTCACAAATTCACACGCACCCCAAAGCCTATGGAAGGGCAGGAGATATGACTATGCATGCACATATATTTTTAACTTTGGTATATTAATACCAACCCTCTTTATCCTAGAAAAAGGAATAAATAGGCTAACTTTCCCCAAAGGAATCTTTACACAATCAACTTAAATGAATTAAACCTACCACATATTCCTGTGCAGATTTATTTTTCTGCTGCTAGCAAAAAACCCACATATTCACAGCAAGATTGAGTCAGGCACGTTTTTCTTCCCCTGTGATACTTATCTGAACATCTCCCTCTTCAGGTGGGCACTTTAACAAAGTGGGCAAGGGACAAAAGGGGCAAGGGACTCGGAGGAGATGTCAGCTCCCAACATGAAGTCACTCATCATAACCTCAAAAGCGTAACTAAAAAGGTATTGACATGGTATAAACTGTAACTGTTGATCGACAAAGATACTTCTGGACGCCTGACGGATCCGAAACACGGTTACCTACACTGAGGAGGCGAGGCAGGAAGACGATGGTGCTTACTGATGTAAACAGTACTTTGAAGCATGTGGACTTGGCAGTTTAATTTGTGTACTTCTGTGAGAATAGATGCCACAATGACTTTCCTCGAAGGTGTGCAAGAAACTCGGCTTGCTCAGCACCACCCTCAGGCAGAACTGCCTTCCCTCATTGCAGCAGGGAGAGATGTCGTAGGCTTCAAAATCCCTATATGAAGACCAGCAAAAATTTCTGGTGCCCATTTCAAAAACTTAGCAGCTAGAAACACACTCCAACGCTTCCACGGTGAAAGACGCAGAATTATCCCGATGGACATACCATGGAAAAAGCCCACACCCAAACTCCTGGCAACAAGGGCAGGAGGATGAAGAAATTGATTTTGCTGAAAAATTTTCCTAAAATTTATCTTTTTGTCTTTCCTTCTTTTGAATTTTCTGAAGTTAAAATTTCACACCCATGACCTTTTCGTAATGAACAACGACATCAACCATTCAAGGCATTTTTACGTTTAAGAAAGCTCTTTTTTCCACCCCAGAAAACCTCTTTTTCCTTCCCACATTCACCTCATTCAGCTCCCAATTAAGGCGCCTGCTCAGGGAGTAAGTGATTTTTGTCCTCATTTATCAAAATGCATGAGGCAATAATGAAACCAACCCTGCCACAATGACAGAGAGTGGGAAGCAACCACCAGCGCTACAGAAGAGCCCTCTCAAAGGCAGATCCTCTACTGCAGCACACATAAAGGATATCTGCCCACACTCTTCCACAAAAGGCTGAATTTTTAGCTGACCTTAATTAGATCCAAGTCCATTTACATCGCTGTAGGATCCCACGTGGCATTTTCTGTTCTGATTTGCTACAAGCCATTTTCTGCCCGGAAAAGGACTTTGCTGCTATTCTAGGCTGTTATCTAGAGTTTCTCTTCCCAAAGGCTGTCTCTTCCCCACCCCAGTTTAAATGCTGTGCTGGTGCCCAGCGCTCACTGTTCATAGCCGGGATTGCTCTGTGGCTCCAAAGCTAGGAAACCCCTAATCTCCTTTAACTGCCCTTGCCGGCTTGCTTACCGTTTTGGGATGCAGAGGGAAACAAGACAGCAGACTAGAGAGAAGTTCACAAATTCCTTCGGCCACAGTATTCCGCTTCGTTTTTACCAACTCTACAGGACTAGCATGGATTCCTGAAGCTTTGTAGTTTAAAAAAAAAAAAAAAAAGCTAACCCTTTCAAGTAGAACAAAGTCTCTCTTTAAAATGAGGACAATGCCAGAGATAATTAGAAGCAAGGGACAGATTTCAGGATACTGGCGTGTTTTTTTTTTTTTTTTTTTGGGCAGGGGAGGGGGAGGGTAGATAGGCTAAATCAGAGACCAATTTAAACCCAACCAGCGGTTAGCCTGTTTCCAACTCTCACAGAAAACACCCAGATGCAGTATGTCACCTCGCAACTGCTGGAAGCAGGACGTGCTGTTCTCGGTGTCCAGCGAGTGCCGCAGGACCCCATTGCTCGGCTTGGGCCTCTCGTAGTCCCGTTCAGGGAGCATGGCCTGCTCGCTCTCCACCGTGTGCTCTGGCCGTGGCGGCAAGGACTGTGGGAACCCGAACATCGGGAGGGACGAGAAGAAGAGTAAGGCACCACAGAGCAGGAAGCCTCCCCACCACGCGCCGATCCACCGAGGGTCGTCCGGGGTGATGTCCAGCTTACCTGTAAGGGCATACACAGGCGTCAGCAGCTCAGCAGGAGGGAGGGGAGAGCAACAGAGTCAAAAGACCCAGAAGCTAGAAGACAGTTGTTGGAGGACTCTTGGCTGCTTGGAGGTGAGGGGTTCCCAGACACAAGGTGGGGGATTCACACCGCATCCTACATTCATTTGGTGTTAGCCACCAGCCACAAAGACTGTCAAATGTGTCAAATGTGCAGAGGAAATGGGCCTTCACTGGCATCCCCTGAAGCTCCTGGCTGGTGACATGGTCCTTGAGTGAAACGGTTAATGGATGAGGCACTAGTAGTGTTCCCCGTGAGAGGACGCATCTTTTCAGATGATAACACTGACAAGGGCTCCATCACAGGAAACCAGTGTTCAGCTGAGACCTCAGACTGCAGGAAGACTGGGAAACATCCGAAAGAAAGGTAAGCACATACAGCTGACATATCCTATTAGCACAAAAGATTATAGAAGAGAAAAATAAACAATGAATGAAGAAAAGCAGAGTAAAAGAGAAGAGTGTCCTGTAGGCCATCACTCAGCAGAGATAAAGGAAAAGAAGCCACTGGAGGCAACTGGGGAAAATAAAAGTCAGCAGCAGGCGAGAAGAAACTGTATTCCTAACAGAAACCTCACTGCCGCAGCCTTTAAGTGAGCAGCTCCCTGCAGAAAAGCCAGGGGAAGGGCGTCCAGCCCTGGGAGCTGGCTCCCGGGGGAGATCTGTGCCCGCGTGGCCTGAATAACAAGCTCCTTGGTTCATGACGTCTGTCTGGTTACAGCCACTCTGAAAAATCTGTCTCAAGTGAAGCAATCAAGTTGTCTCTCAAGCAGAGAGAGTAGGAAACTCTTTTCTCCTTAGGGAAAATAATATGTAGCTCTCAAATATATATAAAGTTTGAAAAATAGTGTTTTGGAGAGATTGAATTCTTTTGCTGTTACTTCTTCCCTCCTGAAGTGCATTTTTTTTTCAGGCTCTCGGGAACACAGCCACATGGAAAGCCATGTAAGCAAAGGTCTTCCTCGTGTTCCCTTCCTAAAAAAGGTGCTGGGCAGACGGTAGCCCAAAGCATGACCCAGTGCCCTGGACCTCACACCTGAGCTGGGGAGCAGGACAGGGCTCACCCACCCATCTAGGGGTAGAAGCAGCTGCAACATGGAAGCTCGTTCCCATACAAAAATAGGCGAAGGCCAGGCGAGCACCAGCCTTCACAGGACAATGATGGACCCCTGCCAAAGAGACCTGGAGCTGCACCTGGACTGCGCTGCACCCTATCAATAATCTGCTGAGCCACAGTCCCTCTGGGTTTTTCAGTGATAACGCTTTACTCTTCTCAGTGCCTCTGCATTTGGTGCTTTTTGAGCTGTAAACGTGGAATAATCATCTTACATTAAGAATGGTTGTATCACACCAGATTAATAGTCCACCTAGGCCAGCATCCTGCCTCTGGCAGTGACCAAATGCAGATGCCCAGAAAGTCCACGATAACAAGGCCATCATATTCCTGACGTTATTCCCCTTGCTTCTTGCTACATGCGGCTCGGGGACTTCTTAAGCTAGATTTAATGTCATTTTAGTCTTTTTTTCCTTTCATAAACTTTTCCAAACATTTTGGAACCCACTGGTAAACTTTCCACATCCAGCGGTGAGGAGCTTTATAGCTTTACCTACTGAGAGAAGAAATACTTACTTCTGCACAGTCACATTTTCTAGAAAATTATACTTAACGGTCACATGTGTAACAGGGTCCAAAACAAACCACTCTCCCCACAGAACAAAATGAGTCTTTAGCATGCCTTTGCTAAAGGAAGGAATGAAATGGGGCCAAGTGGTGTGTAACAAGCCAGAACTAAAAGTCTCAGCCATTAGAAAAAAAGACTTCTTTCCTGATCATTTGGGATTATTTAGATTTCTTCAGCTCCCACACGCATGCCAGACCAAGAAAGAGGGATAGCACCTTTCTGGATGTACACAGTCCTGTTCTAAGTCCTGCAAAGTTAAACTCCATCAAAACACATGCTGTAAAAAGTTAAACTCCATCGAAACACATGCTGTAAAGAATTATTTGCAACACTATAAAATTGGAGCACATCTGCAAAGGGGAAAATACACATACAGCAGGATGAGAACCCGTTGGGATCAAATGGAGCTAAGAACTGAAGTAGAAGTGGCTGAACAACTGAGAGAAGAGAATGAAGCATTATGTTTGCAGCTTACCATCAAAAGGCTTGGGGTTGCAGGAGAGAAAAGACTGTTATGCATTGCCCTCTCCTGGCAAAGAGCACATATTGCAAGCAACAATAAATACAGAAGTTGCAGGTTTTTTCTTTGTGAACAAAAAGACAATTTACAACAATTTGCTTTAACCAAGCACAGGGCCAGCGTGAGCAACAGTTAGCATTGCTCTGGGAAAGGCTACAATGCTGTGGGGCCCAGCCTGCCCATCCAGATAGGGTTCTCTGCAAATGGTGCCAGGCACAGGTCTTACTGGTGTGCCTCCACCAGAGTCTGGGGCTCCCTTCCTCAGGCTCCAGGGAAGGCAGCACTCCTGATTTTGGACAGGCAGCACTCTGGACACAGCTCCTCGGACAATGCTACGTCCATGCTAGCTGGTGTGCCCTGCCGTGGTAATATTTTAACGTGTACTCTTAGAGCAGGGCTGAGATCCTTCTCAGACTCATTTCACAGCAGAAGAGCCTGTGGAAGTGAACAACTTTTAGCTGCTACAGACCTGTTATCTACTGGGACACAGGTGACAAGGTTTGAATCCCAATCATACAACCCTTCAAAAATGACACCCATATATGCAAGAGGCACTCAGGATGGAATAAGAAACAGTTTCCTAGTTGCAAGTACCAACATTCTTGTCCCTCTGATACAAGGGGATTAATGCACTCAATTAGAAATCAAATCAGGTTCTCCTTACTTGTGTCAATGAAGACAGCATCCACATAGATTTTGGTACAGAAGGAGCCCAAGATAAATCCACAGGCTGGTCCAAATACCAGCATCGTAAATAGGATCCCTGAAAGGAGAGAGAAAACAGAACATTAATACTAGGCTCAGATTACCCATTGCAACTTGCTTTGCTTGACTCTCACAAGATGGCACTGCCCTCCTTGCACCAAACAGATAGGGATTTGTTTCTGTGTCAAGCGGATGCATGCTTTGGACAAAAGGGCTCCCTAAATCCTTTTTGCTTTACCATAGCCCTTCAGGAAAAAGGAAGGGATGAAGCCATGATATTGTTGAAGGATTTCTATTAAGCGCAGAAGATAGCGTGGACACACACCACGCTTGGGTCAGCAGTCTGGTCCCCACAAGGAAGCCTATACCTTTTCCGGCTTTGGCTAAATTCGTGGTAGACAGGGATACTTGTAGAATTTAGAGACAGCAAATCTACAAAATGCTGAGTTCTCACAGATAGCTGAGTAAAGTCCCTTTACAGAGGCAGAAACCCTCCTTTAAACCTCTGAAGCCCTTCTCTCCCTCATGTCTACCATTCAAATATTCTCCAAGACTTACAGCTCCTCCATCCCTCGTGAAGACTCGTTCCTCTTCAACACCTGTCTAATACCAGGCAAAGATTGGAAGCTGTTGTGAGTAAATCACTTATTTAGGTTTATATTATATTTAGAATTCTTTTTCTCACTCCCATTTTGGCCCTGAAACAGGAACGCTACAGGCGCATCGCCAGCTCTCAATTATCCACGGCAGAAAGGCGGGGGACAAGAGAATCATCCAGAGAAAGAAGCAGCACAGATAATACAAAACGCTTGTAAAATTGGCAACAGGAACATACTTAGTACCTTCACATTTAGCATGGAAAAACAACAAAAAAATCCCTAAGGAGCCTTTTAATTGGATTTCTGAAGAAAGCAAGGGCAGGTCTGAACAGCAACGAGTGGAGCAGTACCAGGTCGCACGCTCTGGGGCAGAGCTTTGCCAATCGACCTGTGAGGCTTGGCAGGGCTCCTCCGCTGGGGATGCACCAAACTGAGATGCCACTAGTCTTGGTGTCTTCGCGCTTCAGAAACATCCCATGAAGGAGTTTATTCATGTCTGGGGTGCTTTCCGCACTCCTCTTCGGCAATGGGATACATACCACATTTCTCTCCAAACCTCTCTGCGGGTGTTGCCTGGCATCTTGGCACTGTGCTAATGAATTTCATCGCATCCAGTTCCTTAACTAGAAACTTTCAGTTCCTAAGTGCTCTCTCTCTGGGCAGCTCTCAGGAGTTGGAGAAAAGATTAGAGCTGCAAAACATCCCCCGGAGATCACCAGTCACGTGCAAGGAAAATCGCATCTGCTGAGGACAGCTTCACCAGGCAGAAAAAGCTGTCGCAGTCAAAAATAACTTCACCTTGATTTTTACAATATGGGACGCAAACTAATTCCTCCAGGTCTGCGGTACTGTAGTTTAATATCAGGATTAATATCTGAGTACAAAGCAACAGCTCCATCCAGCCATCCGCACAGAAACTGAGCTTGCTAATACCTTCACGGCTCTCAACTACAGAGCAAAGGGGGGAATGAAGAAGGTAGAAGGAGAAAAAACATCACGTCCCCATGTCATGCCAGCGCTGGTAATGAGTCACGTCTGTCAGGACAGCAGCAGAAGGTGTAATCCCCATACAGGCAGGCCAGGCTGCCTCAGTGCAGGTGAAAGCTGCAGCACAGCACGGTGCTTCAGTCCGTGCTACCAGCTTAAACCAGTCCTCAAGGTTTCTGGCCATCTCCCTCCTGCAGTCCCAGGGTTTGCAGGGTCGAGACCCTGGGCATCAAGTCCGTGCTCTCAGATGCAGCAGCACGAAGCGAAGCTGGAGGTGCTGGAGGAGAGGGCATCTCAGGGAAGACCAACACTGAGGCCACGGGCAGTGGGACTCGAGTCTCTGTGACAGCCCACGCGACGCTGGGACATCTCCCTCCCCGACAGCCCTGCTCCTTCCCAGCCCCAGCCTGTGTAGGCACTCAGGACTACAGTTTCCAAAAGCCTTTTATAAAAAACACCCACGTGGCATTTTTTCCATCACTAGATGGCATCAGCGCCTGACATTCAAGGGCTGGCACAAGCCCCATGCGAGCACGCTGGGTGGCCAGCGTACAGCTATGTAGCACGCCCAGGGCTTTTCCCACCCAGTGACCGACTTCAGACCTGCATCACAGGAAAAGTGCTTGCACGTCCTGGGATCACCACATCCGATAGCATTACCTGGGGTTTACACAGCCTACCTGTCCCTGGCAGACAACAGCAACAGCTGGCAGTGTGCTGACTTCACCCAGGTATCAGCCCCGTGCATAACCAGGCTGTGCCTTTTGGCTGGTTGCAAGCAGTAAATCATAGATTTTAGAATAAAGTGTTCCAAAGCTGTTTAGTTTTTAGTCAAAGAGATTATTTTTCAACGACTTTGTTCTGGGGGACAAACAGGCATAGCTGTTACTCTGATAAACAGGCCTGCAATCAAAGATCAGGTAGATCTTGGATGCCTGGACAATAATCACAAATTTCTGTATAATCACTGTCAAGCATACAGAGACATCTGGACCTTACATATCATGGGGCAACATGCACAGTCCCCCAAAACCGTGTCCTGTAGAGATGACAAACAGAAACGGTATTTAGGATGAGGAGCCCTCTGATTTGAGCAGTAAGTCATTATACTCTCTGCCCTTACCTCCTTACTTTAAAAGAAATAAGGGGGAAGAAAAATAGGCAGAACCGAGCACCTGCCCCACCAGAGCCAGACACTCAGCTGGCACATAGCATTGCTGAAGTCAACAAAGCGATTTGTAATCCCAGAGGGGTTAGCGCCACCCTGAGCATGCAGAGCAAACCCCTTGCATGGTGCTCAAGCCCTTGTGCGCAGCATCGCAGCTGGTAATGCTAGGGGAATGCACGACACTGGCGGAGAAACCTTCCCCGCCAGAGCTGCCTAACGACTCACGTTTGCATGGATGACACCCTTGGGAGGGAAGGTCACTGAGGGCACCAAAGCTTCTCAAAGCCAAGACCAATTCCTGCAGACGTCAAGGAGCAAGCAGCAGTGCCGAACAGCCATGCGGTTGCTGAACTGCATGTGCAAAGAAAAGGAGCGTGTGGCCAGCAGATAGCTGCTTCCAGGGCCATCCGAAACCCAGCAGAGGGGAGCTCTGCAGCTCCGAGGAGCACAAGACTAGTTTAAGATCGTGGAGACAGGATCAGGCACGACCTGTTCTCCAAAGGCAGCAGATATTCATTTTCTTTTTTAAAATCTAGTAATTGCTGGTTGATGGTTTTCTCTAAGCGTTTAACATCTCTGGAGAGCTGAGAGCATGCAGAAATTGTCATTTGGCATTGATGCAGGCTCACGGGCAGAATGACACAAGGACCGCTTCTAACATTTCCTGGCAGTACCTTTGGAGGTACTCCAGGTTGGGTTGAGGAGGGATAGAGGTTTATCCCATGATGGTTTCCAAACCACAGGCAGAGTTATCAGGCTCTGAGTACGTAGGCACAACCAGTGTGTTTCAGAGAGTAAAGTGTAAGGCACAATATATGGAAAAAGATCATCCTTCACAAAAAAAAAGGGGAATATCTTCCACGTTCAAAGTAGAAGGGACCAGAGGCCTTTTGACAGTGAACTGTCAGTACTAGGGAGATGCATACAAAGAGGCAGTTCAAACAAAAAGCTAACTGTAAGCAACCTGTATCAAATGCACATACACGCGCATGCATGTGTATCCCCTTTCCCGAGGCAACCCTTGCAACTGGTGAACGCTCCTGTTCGGCACGCTTCTTGTATTGCTGCAAACAGCCACTTCAGAAACAAACCAAGCCATATCCTCAGTTATTAAAATGCCACATTTCATAACCCGGCAGCTGAAACGTGAAACGTATTGTTCGCTCTGAAACGTCCTCGCTAGAGGGCAATATGGGATAAAGCATCCACTGAACAGAGAAACAGGTAGCTAAGATCTTACTGTTAGATATTAAGTTATCATTTACCTTTAGGCCAAATGTAAGAAACCCTCACGTTAATTACGTTTTTACTATTTCTACACTGTTAACTAAAATTCTGAAAACAAGAAGCTCTTCCCATACGCTCTTTGTGATCCTCCTTCAGGACTCCAGTAGAATCCCATGTTTGCAATAACAGTGTATTCTGCTACGTCAAATACAGCTACTTTGGTCCAGAAAGAGCCACAGGCCGTCATGACCGATAGTCCAGACTCTCCAAAGAGCTGGACTGCACACGAGGGTCAACAAAGCATCCCACCATGCACAGTAATTAGGGACCAGGCTATCAGGATCCTGACTGTGGTTAGAATGAGACTGTGGCTCTACACATCCTTCCGCTTTTAAGAAATTCTATGCGATTACCAACCACCACAGTTAGTAGCAGAACACTTTCCACATCATCCACCTAGTAACACAACCAAGAAGCTGCTTATTAGTAGGCAAGCGGGTCTGGCAACCCCCCTTTTCCCAGTCATAGGGTTGCTGGTAAGGATAAAGATGTGTTAAACTTGTGAATAGCTTTAATACTGCTTGCTAGGTATATATATATTTTTATATTTCCCTCTAACTTTTAGATCAGTTTGGCTACTAGTGGATGTCACAGAGTCAAAGGGCACCAGCACCAGGAGGAGCTCAGGCTTTCAAAGGGGTTGTGACCTGCTCTCAGGAGCAAACAGATCAAAGGTCTAATCCTAGCTCCATTACAGTTTATTGCAAAACTCCTATTGATAGTAGTAAAACTGAAGATCAGTCCAGGATACTCCACTTCTGCCTCTTCCTCTTCCTCTTTTTTTGTTTCATTCTTAGCTCAGAATTTATTTCAGTTGCTCCGAGCAGCACACTCAGTAACTGACATCTACCTCGAGAGAACAGAGGGAGAACAAAACTGGAACTATCGACTCCAGTGCTGCCTTGGAAAGTAAACGTTTTCTGCTCTGCCAGGTGGTTTGATCCTCTTCAAAAGGGTCTGCACCTCTTCAAAAAGGTCTGATGCTCACCATTTAGTTAGCTCTCTACAGACCAGCAG